CTCGGCAATCGCATTGCGGGAGGCTTCTTGAGGGTGTTCAAGCAGGGGATGAACGCATAGCAGGCGTGATGCCTCGTCGATCATGGCCATGTAGTGATACGTAGTATCTGAGACCGTGAACTCCATGTTGTCAATCACCAGGGTCTCCCAAAGCATTTCTGACTTCTCTATGGACAGCGCTGGGTTCAAAGGCGCTGCTCTCAGCTCTTGGCATTCAGGACATTGATGGCGTGATGCCATATCGATGACCTCAGGGTGAGCTCCTCTGTGGCGCAAACAGCCACTCAAAGCAGCATTGGAAGGATGTCCAGTTCTTTTGCGCAGGCGCTCGAGCATCTTCTCGACACCTTTTCTCTCCGCTTCGGAGAGTGGTGTCACTTTCTTCTTCTTCGCCTCCTTCTCCTCGATGTCCAGGTCGCGGGTGTCGAAGACGGGGTAGGCTGGTAGTACACCGTGAGCTCCGACATCACTCATCTCACGAACTGCCCGAAGCACAGCCTGACAGAACTTCTTGGGATAGAAACCGGACTTTCTGGCTAGGCCTCCTCCAAGACATTCTTGGTGTTCAGGATGAACGAGATGTCCAGGGCAGGTTCTCGAAACTGCCTGTGCCAAAATCTTGGACGTTGTCTTGATCGTCCATGGTTTCTTGATAGGAAGGTCTGTCTTCTCATCCTTCACGTCAAAGGCGCACCCATCAGCTCGTCCAACATGTAGGTCACCTGAAGATTCCAGTCGTTGCCAAAATGCTCGGACTGGTTGAAGGTTCCATCCTCTGTTGTTCGTCGGCCATTCCCATGCAACTTCACCTCCACGTTCGAGTTGATGTGTTGCGACCTCCAGACCATTCTTGATCAATTTCTTGGACTTCTTCTTTCTCTCCAAGCTTCTCTGCGTGGCCTTCTCGTCCTTCTCATTGAAGAGTTCCTGAATTGGCGAGTATGGCCCGCAGGGAAGGGAAAACCAAGCAAATTTCGGCTTGTAGGAATTGATCATCTCCTTGATGTCCAAAACACCTTTCTTGCTGGACAGGTCGTGGGCAGGTAGTCCAACTCGCATAGCTGTCCGACCGGCATCCAAAAAACACCTGAGTCAGACGGGAATCCGGAGGACAGCAGATCTCCAAAAGATCAATTCCATCTTGGGGAGGTAGTAGATCTCTCCAAGCAGCATGCGCCTCCTCCATGAACTCCTCCACCACACCTTGTAGAAGCTCTTGTTGGGGCTTACTCAAATTGCCCATACGCTTAGCATCATAGTCCTTGTCCGGGATCGTGTACTCGAGGATGTTGCCGTCCGAGGTCGACTTATAGTGGGCAAGGTCGTTGGTGTTCACGGTGAAGCGGCACTCCCGCCGCTCTCCGGAGGTGTTGCAATCGAGATCACTGACCATGCCTCGGTCTTCTCGGCACCCTTGTCGTTCTCTCTCTTCACGGCCTTCTTCTGGTCGGGCGTCACTCGCTGGGTCTCCTTGGCCGCTGAGGCATGCGTTGCAGGCATCTCCGCATCGTTTGGCTTGTAGCCACCGGGACGAAGTCGGGGTGGATTCTTGGCCTTCTTGGCTTCCAACTCTTGAAGCTTCTTGCGAAGGGACTCCTCCGCTCCGGTCTGGCCAATGGACTTCACGTTCAGGTTCTCCCGGTAAAGCGGCTCCTCCTCCAGGCGCTTGGAATCGATGGTCTCCGTCACGGTGGTCACGTCTGGAGGCAATGGACCTGCCTGCCTGTAAATCCCGGTCGCCCCGTAGGCTGGGATGTATTCTGTTCTGAGCCGGCAGCGTTCGCATACCGTCCACATTCCGAATTTGTTCCTCCCACTCAACGAACCTCTGCCCGGGGGCATTGGCTGGTGATTGCCATAGCACGGAAAGACCTGTGCCCGTGGGTCGTCCGACGCAGGACCTGTTGCTCTCGAGAAGTCGTATTTCTCGGGTGTTGGAGTTCTGTCCTTTCTCGATTTGCGGGAAGTCGACTTGGCCTTGTCCGCGAGAGCTTTGTTCTCCGCAGCCTCCTTGAGCATCGCTCCTTGGGTCTTCGACTTGGTCGGCTCGGGGTGAGAGGATGCCATGGTGCACAGATGGGAGGACAGTCGAGGCTGCGGCAAGTGTCACAAGGGCTTTTGCACCAAAGTGCATGCTTGAGCTGGAAGTGTCATCCGGAGGTGTGAACTCTGTCATGCTCTTGTCAATCAACTCACCTTCTTCAAGACTCTCACAAAAAACTTGGGGTGGCGAAGTGGCAATCTTCTCAATCTCATGCATGGACATGTCATGAACTGGTACTGCATCATGTTGATGTGAAATGAAAGACTCGTCACAAACACGTTCGTCCGGCCACATGTCCCACTCTGGTCCGTCAAACAGCTCCATATACGCTCCGGCGGACACGGAGGGCTCATCAAGGTGATACCAGTCTCTGGTCATGTCCAAAAGGAGGTGCTCGTTGGCACTTTGCTTGAGAGGAATCCAAGCATCTGAAAACCTACGGAGTTGCATGCGGTTCAACTCAGTGTCGATGATGGCGCCCATTTTCCGCAGGGTGCGGACACTCAGCAGTCGAGGAACTCCTGGGGCGTCGATGGCATGCACTCCCAAGGTCAAGGTCGTTCCATCGATGGTCTGGGGAAGCTCGATGAAAGAAGTTGCCTTTTGGGTGTCTCCATTGCCAAACTTGAAACGTTTGGTCTTTCATGAACCACGATTTTTTCGTAGCCGAAGTGCTGCAAGCGAAGGGTCATGATCTTCTGCAAGGCCTCAAGCCTGTGGCTCATCCTCCTCGACCGGCAGGACAACAAAGATCTGGTTTGAGAAGTAGTTCGGCCGGGTAGAGGAAGGATTCGAGGATGAAGCCTCTGTTCTCCGCTTTGGGCAGCCGCGGAAGTCATGGTCCTTGCTGCCGCAAATGAAGCAACCTCTGTATTCAGGGTGTCCAGGCCGTTGGGTGGAGCCAGAGGATCCCTTGCCCTTCTGGAAATTGGCCAAGGCCGATGATGTGCTCGATGGAGAAGCTTGCACACCCTTTGGTTTACTCTTCTTTCCTTTACCCTTTGACTTTCGCTTGAACATAGAAAAAGGGTAAAAACCTCTGGAGTGTTGTTTGGCATAGTTGAGCTTTCGACTATCTCTGAATGATCTCATCTTGTCCTGAAAAGCTGCGAAAGCCGAAAAGATGGCTTCTGAATCATTCGGAGTGGCTTGAGCACATTCTTCAGCATCCATCCACTCCTTGGTTTCTGTCCAGGACCAGAAAATCCCTTCAGCGTCCTGGGCGTAAAAATCATCGTCCATCCACTGCCAACTCAACTCCTGTCCGTCCGGGGCCCATGTGCTCCATGCTGTGGATGTGGGAGAAGGGTCTTCCCAAACAGGGTAAACATCTTGGGGCAAGCGGTCACCAACCCAATAAATTGTGAACTGTCATCAACCTCTTCTGTTTCCAAATCACCCAACAAACCCCATTGTGAATCTTGCTCGATCCAAAACGAACGACGTGGGCGCTGCAGATCGCCCCGACTCCGGTTGGCTTCCGCAACAAGAAGCTCTTCCTCCTATTCACGCATTGCGCGTTCCATGGTGTCCAAGTCAAGCCGGTTGTTGATGGCACTCAAAACTGAAAGGCGGGCAGATGCTGGAAGTCTGCTCCTACGGAGTAACAACCATCTCAAAATCTCTTGGGGAAGGATCTGCACTTCACCAAATTCAAATTGCTCCCAACGAATGGTCTCCTCTTTCTGATCCCACCATTGCGATGATGAGTCGTCATCATCTTTCTGCCAGCGATCACGTTTCCACTGGCGCCATTCGTCAGCTGTCCATCGTTGCTCGGACCAACCATGCTCTGATTGTGGAAGCTCCTCATAGCCTTCACGGTCATTGGGCTCTTCCTGGGTCTCCTGATCTTGTCCAGCTCTTCCGGGATTGGAACCTTCCTCCGGGATGTCCGGAAAGGTCGCTGGTGCATCTCGTCTAGCCTGAGGTGTAGTCCTATCAGACCTTTGTGCAGGGCTCGGGGATGAAGCACCCGGTCGGCGGCCTGGATTGTTCTGCTGTCGCTGACGGGCCATCGCCCTCTGGAGGCGTCTATACAACTCCCTCAAAGAAGTGGCCCACTCTGTCATGGAAGCTCCTGGCTGTCTCCTCTTCCAATCTTTGGCCAACATCTGGAATTGGGGTCTTGCATCAGCGCTCTTCCAAGAAACTCAAAAGGTAAGCTGCTCCGTCAGCACGCTGCAATCGACTATGGTCCACCTCTGCTGAGGTGATGTCCCAAGCCTTGCCGGTCAGGCGGCTTGCCAACTCAGCTCCAAGCCAAGAACGCTTCTTAGGTTCAGTTCTCTCATACTGCAGGCGAACATGCTTGACGTAGTCCAACCAACGTGAGGCGTCACCGTCCCAAGTTGCTATGCGCTCCTTTCGCTCAACTGTTGTCATGAATCCAACCGCCAATGCACAATGTACTATGTAAATTCAACCAAACAAATTCCGGTTGTCCAAAATTGGATCTGGTCCCAACTCCGGACCGTGCACAGCCAACTGACCCCAACAAGGTCTGTATTCAACACCTGTCCAAGATCAGCCAGCACCAATCCCGGTAGGGAGCCTCTGGACGAGGCTCCGCTACCAGTATTGGTAGTGGGCAGCCAACTCAACGCAAGTACGAAAGGCGAAGCTGTGAACAATGCAATGGATGGCTAAGTACAACCTGTAGTACCTGTGTGGATACTATATCCAACAAAAGGAAACCAAGGGAATCCGATCCCTCCAAGAGCAAACCACAAGCTCTATGTTTCACCACGCAGCCGAAGGTCGAGCATTGGTCAAGTCACTGGCAAAAGGATGTCCTATGGATTTTGGGCCGAGGATGCATCGGGAGGCCAACAAACATGGAATCCTGGAATCTGTACCTGTCAACCTCGTTTTCCAAGACATGGACACCCTTCTTCGAAGTGCCTGTCAAAACACCCACAGTGTCTTGTTGGGAGATGTCGAGTACAGCCACCGCCTGAGCCCAATTGCTCTTGGCACATGCACTGCAAAGGGCAGTCAGCAGGAAAAGATCTCCTTGCAGTCCTGACGGGACAGCCAGTTGTTAACAATCAAAAGTTCCGGACTAAAAACCTGTTACCCCCGAATTGAACTGCCTGCAAGAATCATGTAAGAACAGTTTCACACGTCAATCGATGAATGCACAGGTTTCCCCCGTGCTCTCCTTTTTTTGACACATGTTTCATATGATTTGTTGCGCCAATGATCGGCCTGCCTACCCTTCATCACGCACTATGCAGAACGCATCCCTTGCATTGTCTTGAACGTTGGGTGCCTGTATGTTGTGTATATTTCTTGTATATACACCAAAAACATTTCTATGATTCTCTATTGAACAGACTCCGTTGGGTGTGTATTTGTTTGTTCCCACGCCGGGATGTTTGACTAGGGGTATGCCGGGGTACCCTGTGTTTTCGGGTATGCCTTGCCTAAGTCGAATATCCCAACCCTACAAAAACTGGACGCATTAAAATTCAACACACGCAATGTCGGATCCAAATTAGTATGATGGGAGGGAATAATTAAATGTTCCTTGCCAAATTATTCCCACACCCTCAACAGTTTAATGGGAGTGAATATAGAGTGAATATAAAGGAGTTTTTTTCACCCAAGGTGCCGGGTGTTGCTTCAAGAATTCTTGATTTGTCTATTCTTCTGCTACTGTTGCCCTTTAATTCCTTGCTTAACTAGAACGACTACTACTACTCCTCCTCCTCCTCCTGAGCTTTGCTTGATTCACGGAACTCTGACCTGAACACCCTTTTAAAACCCCTCATTAGCACTCATCGACTTTCATTGCCCCAAGCAACTTTTCAAGGGGCAGTACACAAGCCCGGGGTAAGCGAATAATACGAATTGTTTAGGGGGTGGGATTAAACAAGACGCTTGGTCCCAAAGAAAATATTTACAACTACTTCTTGCGCTGGCATTGCTGCCATATAAGATCCTTGCTCAACTCTTCTGACTTCTGACGATGACGACGACGACGACACTACTACCACTTGTGCTTCTACTTCTGCTACTACTACCACCACTCGTTAAATTTCCTAAGTCCTTGTTCGTCACGTCCTCAGGCCTAAACATAGCAATTCTTTGGTATTCTAATATTTCAAGCGCTTTGTTGTTTCCAAGCTCTTGACGAAGCTGTGTTGAAGCCATTTCAAAAGTTACGAGCTTCCAGCACCATCCCTGTTTTTTGGGGAACCCAAAAGTCCAAATGTTCTAGAACTGGTTGCCTACGCATGTAAAAGTGCGCCAATGTCAAGCCGAAAACTCTTTGGAACTCGTATTCTTTGCTATGCCATGATTGCGGACCTTTCCCCTGGAAACCGTTCAGCGGCGCCGCAAAAACAAAGCAAACTCACTCTGAGGGGACACCTTTTTCTACGCAAAATGGAGAGCAGTAATGCAGCTTGCAGCTGCGTGCGCGGCTTGCCTGAAATGGCGCGGGGCTGCCCGCAGCCACGGTCACGGCGGTGCCACCCGCTGCTGGCAGGCCTGATGCTCCATTCATGGGCGATGGGCTCACATGGAGGTTGTAGAGCTCCATCCCATCGCGCCTATACGGCGGCAAGAGCGCCGCTACGGGGCTGCCCTCTTCATGACATTGCCCTTTCTTTTTAGCCTTTGCACCCGCTTTAGATTTTCCTTTGGGCGTTGGCTTTGGGGCTGCCTTTTCTTTGGGAGTTGCTTTTGGTTGCGGGGCTGGTGTCTTATGTGCTTTCTGCAGTGGTTCCGCTGCCTCGGTTTTGCTGGCGTTATCGTCTTCCGATCTCCCTCGCTTCCTTTTTGCCTCCGGTTCAAGTGTTTTTCCTTTGCTGTTGTATCTTTTTGACCTTCTGTGTCCTCTGCATTGGCAGGTGGAGCGACAGGCTCCTTCGGTGCAGTGTCTTCTGCTTTGCGCTCCTTCTTTTCGTCCGACGGCGCTGCTTCTGTTGACGGGTCTTTCCGCTTCTGGCTCATCTCCACCTCCACCGCACTCTCAGGCAGCGCGCCTTCTGCGCCTTTCCCTTCAGCAGCCTGGGTCAAGGGCGGCGTCGCCGCTGCTGTCCGTTCTGCATTGTCATTTGCATTGCCCTGCAGGGGCCTCCTGCGCCATGCCTGCAGCAAGGCCTTCTTCGTCAGCGAAAGCCTTGGTTTCTTCTTGCAGCACGGAGCTCGGGGTTGCAACTTCCTGCGCAGCCAGGGCTCCCGCATCACCTGGCCTTGCGGCGGTTGCCGCTTCAGGGTGAATAAGCTGAATGATGTTAGCAATATTTAGCAATCAATTTCTTCGCTGCATCAGGTTGCCCAGGCACAGACTCTAAATGTGAAAGGCTTGCCAACATGTCTGGGTGAAGGCAGCCAAACCTCAGTCCCAAAACGTCTGACGTGCGCTCGCTGGCAAACCAGGCAACCTGCTGGCAGAAACAAAAGATCTCCTGGCCCCACGGTGCCAAAGCGGAGTTGCCCGCCACTTGCTGCTTCTTCTATTTCCTTTTCTCCGCCAGCGGTCGACATTTGCTGGGCGAGGCTAGGCTGACTGCGTCCTGCGGAGGGTCTGGTCCAGGTACCCACACGGCAACCATCATGGTCCCGCTTTGAACCCAGTGGATGCACGGCAGCATTGCCAGTTCTGTTCGGGCGGACAAAAAACGGAGCACCCCAATCTCAAAACAAGTTGGCCGCAAAATCTTGCCTAACTTTTGCTCCTCATCCAGCGGCATCACCGCTCGCCCTTCGACCTTTCCCGCTTGGATGGCGCCTGAGCCAATCATCCAACCAGGCGGAAAGTGCACATGTGTCTGCAACGCTTGCACCAGCTTTGTTTCATCATCTTTCCATGGCACCTGACCACGACCCTCTGTGACGCGAATTGCTGACTTGGCAAAGACACCCCCGAAACCAATAACTTCCTTTGCAATTTCATCGGGCAATGACGCCAGTCCAGACACATGGCTGGCGCACGTCCTGAAACGCGCGGTCCCAGCTGGTTTCCAAAGCCCACTCTGAATTCCCTGACCGGGTCTTTCCACTGTCTAATAGCACTCCTTGCGGGGCCACCCGCTTTTGTGTTGCTGCAGTTTTGGGCCCACGCCCAGCCCCACCCCCAGAGGCTGCAGTGGCAGCCGAAGCCTTGGCGGCAGCTTGGGCTTTTCTCTTTGCTTGTTCTTCCTCTTTCTTGGCTGCAGCTTCCTGCCGCTTCTTTGCGCCACTTGACTGCAGTCACCAAAACATTTGCGGTTTTCTTCATCGCCACCCCGCTCTCATTCACTCTTTTGATTTCTGCTTCGGTTGAGCACGCGCGGAACTCCTCCGCCAACCGGCGCATGGTTTCCACAGACTTCAGATGTAGGTAATCTTTGCAAGGGCCAGCGCGGACAATGGCTCCTACATCTTGCGACGTTGTTTTCGCATCCTCTGCGCCGCCACCGCCGCTGCCCTCATTGTCAAGCTCATCCACGATTTTTGGAGGGCTTGATCTCCATCCATAACTGCTTGCAGCCAACGCAGCCGCTTCTCTAGAATCCCAATTTCTTGTAGAAACTCTTTCGCGACGTTGCCGCTGCCATCGCTTCCGCTTGCCTCTGTCTTGCTGGCCCTAAACTCACAAACACATGTGTGACTGTCGTCGATCACTTCAGTGATGCTGCTTGCCAGCTCATCCACACTTAGCAAGCATGAGGCTTGGTTTTGCTCAGGCAATTTGGCCATGGCTTTTATTTGCTAGCTACAGACTTAGCCCTGCGCCTTCTGGCAAGTAGGATAAACCCAAACTCCTGGCTTTGTAAAAGGGTCAGCGGGGTCGAGGGAAATGTTTTGCCTGAACTGTTGCTAACACTTGGCTGCCACTTGGCTTCGACAATCAAACATCATTGCGCGACCTGCAGGCTTGCGAGGAGCAAAAAACAACATAGCTTAGGCTAGGCAATGTAGTTGAACGAAAACTTCACTTGTCAGTACTCAACTGCGCCACAGTCAGGCAAGAGGCCTTTGCGTCCGCCTTTGCGTCCGCAGCCAGGGCGGCCACGCGTGTGGCTGGGCCAAGCTAGCAAAGCGATGCAGCAACACCGCTGTTTGGGGTGGTTGGGGGCCGGCTGAAAGCTCAGTCACCGAAGGCATTTGGCGGCACTGGTGGGCAAGGCTCAGTGTAAGCCAGCGCAAAAGCAGCCACTGTTCCCACCACTCGGACATGCATAGCGTTTCCCGCTAGAGAGCGTAGGCTCGAAGCTGAGAGGCTGCGGAACTTGGAATGAAGAGGGGATCTATAGCGGTCATTGCCAGTGCCAGCGCTGAAGACGTTCCATCCCTGGACTTCTAAGTGTTCCAAAGGCAGCGCCAACCGCCGCTTGCCAAATAACTGCAACTGCAAAAGCGTCTTCCGCAACATCGCTGGAACGACCCCCCAAGTTGGGGGCATGTAGCTGATTGGCCTAAGTTTGTGGACCACATACGGGCATTGGGGCCTGTCGCCTCTTCTGTTCCCCACTTCTCTTCCAGCCACCTCTGTGTTGGTCTACTTTGGCCCTACAAGCAGAAGACATTGCTTGGTAGCAAGACCAAGCCTTGCCACTCTTGGTGAACTCAGGCAAATTCTGCGCATCAGCTAGCGCGGTGATGTACTCTTGGACCTCTACACTGCTGGCCCTGAACTTGTCCTCGGGGCAAAGAAGGACACGGCGGGCAAACAACTCCTCAAACAAGGCTCGCCGATTTTGCGCGCAGCTTTGCCATCGCCGCTGCCCTTTCCGCAGCAAGGTCATATACAATCGACGCCGCTCCACGGGCTCCCCAAGTAGAGTTGGAGAAACCTGCAATACGGAGAAGTCCCATTCTGCTTCCACCATTGACGCAAAATGTGGCCAGTCAAACTTTTGGGTGTTCTCCGCTACGATGATGTCTTCTCCAAAGGCGAATCTCTCCGCTAGCCATTGCATGAACGGAAGGCTGGACGGCTGGACATTCCCAGCCACCCTCTTTCATCTCCCTCGGAGCTCCAATCATAGCAATTGAAGCCTGCTACGTGGAGCTTGATGGAAAGCGGGTGTTCCGCCGTTGGATGCACTGGGCGCATTTTCTTGTGCCTGAAGCAGTGGGCAAAAGTCTGCGTCAATGGCTGCGTCCTGAACCGCTCCAACAAAGCACTGGCAACATTCCGTGGAGTGATTGCGCTTTGGTTGATTTTGCTTTTGATTTTGCGCGCTCCTTGGAGACGGCGCACATCTTCAGTTGACTGCTCCCAGATCGACCGCAAACACCTTTCACCAATATCTCCATGCACGCAGCTAGTCGCCGCTGGGCCTGCCTCATGCATCAACAGGATATCTCGGCAGGTCTTATCTTTGTCCCCTGACCTTTGCAAGACCATTGATGGTGTGCGTTGTTGACTCTGTTCTTGGCCTTCTTCTTGTTTTCCCAGAGCAAAGACTATGCACCTCAACGCTTCCTCTGCAGAGCCCATTCCGCTGTAGTCGCTTGACACATGCAGCGGGGCAGTCACAAAAGCTTCGCGGAGATGTTGTACCTTTCCGCGCGCTTGCAAACTGTTGACCACATCTTCAGCCCAGGCAGCGCTCTCCTCAGCTGATTGGGGCCCTGGCGCCAGTTGCCTCTCTCTGCGTGGCTTCTTTGCTGCGTGGTCATCGCCTTGCCCGGGCCACTCCAGCTCAAGGCTGCTGAGCCACAAGGTTTCTGCACAGAGGGCTGCTCTTTTGCTGTGTGGCTGGCTCGTTCTCAGGCGGGAAGGGCGGGGTTGGACCGCCGCTGCGCACTTCCTGCGCGGTTGACCCACCGCTCATCGGACCATGGAAAAGCGCCCTGCCGTCCACATTGTCCATGGCCACTGGTCCCAAGGAGTATTTGCCCAGCTAGAGGGCATGGAGCGAAATGCTTCCCATCACCCACTCCACGCGGGTAGCCTGGCATCAGCCGTGCCGCTTCCAGCCTGTCACTTGCTGATGGCAACGAAATGTTCGCCCCCTCCTCTAACTCAAAGCCCGTGTGAAGCCAGGAATGGCAGTCGCAACCTTCGCACCACTTGCAAAGTTCAACGCTCAGCTTGCCGAGCTTTGTCAACATGGCACAATAGAGCCAAAAGGAATTGGGCCTGATTGCAGACGTGACCAAATCAGCAGAGAAATCCTCGAGGAATCCCCTTCCCTTTCCGCAGCTTCCGCCGCTACTTCCGCAGGGGTGAGCTGCTGTGGGTTCCCAAACTTGTTGGGGTCCCACACGTTCTGTAGCAACCTTTTGACTGCCAAGATTTTTGGCAAAATTGCATGAACGGTGCCCCACCGCCAGAAAGCTGCCTTCTGCGCGCCAACATCAAATTTATTTGCCAACCAAGCCCAAGGAGTATTCAAGACACACGTTGCGATGAGCCGCTTCTGCAGGTGCTTGTCATGCAGCAGTGTGGCCACCGCTTTGAAATATGGGAGCCACTGGTTCCACCCAGTCAGCTTGGAATGGAGTTCCTGACACATGTTTTGAAATGTGTGCAAGAGGTTTGGGGAAGGCAGCCCTAGAGGAAACACAAAGCTGTCCCTATCCGGATCAGGCGCGCAATCCCGCAAGAAATTGTTCCAAGCCCTCTTCAGACTCCAAGGGTTCCAGCATCCACTCTGGCAAAGCATCCGCTAATGAAATGCCTTCAGTCCGCAAAGCCCGCTTCTGTACCAAAGTCAGTGCACACAGCCCGAATCGCGGAAAAGACCCGCTTCGCAGAATTCAATGTATGCGTCTCAGCAAAATCTTTGCGAGCCAAACATGAAAAAAATTGAAGCGAAGTATCACCGCTACCCAACGCCATTGGCATTTGCCTGTGCGCAGAAATGGTTTTGACCAACCACTCACCCAAAGCATGTCGGCGCGCGACAATTTCTTGTTTTTCAATGTCATCCTCTTCGACTGCATTCTCAAAAGCCCCCACGCTGGCTTGCAAGGAGTCGGCGGCTTCCACGGCACGCCTCAAATCACGGGAAGGGATAATGCGCAGCATGCTGAGTAACCAATCGGTCCCACCCTGCGGACTACTGCCTGCCCACAAATACATCACACAGGAAGGTTCACGTGCAAATTTTCTGCCCACATGCTGCACAAGGTTGCTCCAATAAAGAATAACATCATTGATTTTATTGGTTTCTAGTCACATTATTGAAATTAGCGTTTTTTATTGATTCTTTCCTATAAGGCGCTCTCTGGGCATTGACATTAGTCGGATTACCTAGATCGGATGGTTGGGCTGTCGGATCAGGCTGGGCTAAACCAGGTGCAGGATTTTGTGGCACCTGTGCTGGTGGGATTGGCATTTGAGAACCCGGAAGAACAGTCGGGGCAGCAACACTCTGCGCAACAAAGTTTGGGTTTGTGCTCAATTGAATCACCTGTTGCAAGGCTGGTCCAAGAGATATCAACGAATCTGAAAGGCGCGCAACTTGTGTTTCCAATCTCTCTATTCTTGACGTGTCTACCCCCTGCGCTTCCGGACTCCTTCGGCTCCGAGTTTCAGATCTTCCTCTGGATCGTTCTCCTTGAGGTGCAGTTCCATCACGATCGGCCATGGCTCAAACTCTACGGGTGAAAAGTCGTGACCTATCCTAAGTGAATTGGAACCTACAGCTCCCGCAGGAGCTCCGCTACCATATGAAGGTTAACTTCAAGTTGGAAACTCGTGAGAACCCAAAAGAAAACAGTTGAAACCTTTCGAACGTGTTCGATCGATCCTGGGGGGCCATTTGATCACCAAAAACAAGGTCGAAGGTCAAATGGCCATTTGGACACGAAAAAACGGTATGGCCGTGAACAATTATTTGGCCGTGAAAAAGCCGGTAAGGCCGTGAAAAAGTGTGCATTTGGACGTGAAAAAACGGTTCTTGGCCGCGAAAAGGCGTGAAAAACGTGAACTCAAGGAGTTGAAACCGTGAAAAAACCAAATGGCCGTGAAAACTGGCAATGGCATCAAAGCTTTACAAAATAGGGTCGAGAGCTGTTTGATCGCCTTTTTAGTGATCGAATGGCTCCCCAGCCCTCGGCCGCGATCAGCCGAAACGCCCACGCCCCGATCCGGACGCGCAACGCTTTTCTTGCGTCGCACTTGAGCCACAGTCAGTGGCGAGAGGTACACTTCTCGATTTGTCGCTCTGGGCGCGACATGCATCGAATGCACCTGGACAATGCGTAAGCGCATCACCCGAATGCACCCGGACAATGCGTAAGCGCATCACCCGGGTTGATGTCGCTCTGGGCGCGACAGGCATTTGAACGAAGCTCAAAAACAGTCCATGTCAACTGCAAGCTTCTACGAAAAGGCTTCCATGCATACTGCAGTACACTTCTTGATTTGTTCGTGTATGGAAACATGAGAACAACTGTGTTTGACCGAAAGGACGGCTTCGAACGAGGTGTCGAACTTTCACACCACCACCACCACCACCACCACCACGACCACCACCACCACCACCACCTCGCTGTCGGCGGTTTACTATTTAAGACCCAACATTATTTGGTTCTATTGCGTCGATCAAAACCTTGCCATGCCTTGCCCAGTTTATAGCCAGTCCACCTTCTGAAATGGTGCTGAAGACATGCAGTGCTTTTTGCCATGCTGCAGCACGGCCCAGTGCAGCAAGCCGAGATGTGGCGGCACGAAGGCCTCACTAGGTCTCAAAACATGATGTGTGAAGCCACGGCCTGGCGGCCCAAGCTTTGGTTTTGGCGGCCAGTTTCCACATCTGCTACAGTTCAGCGAGAATGCCAGGAAACTGAGTTTTAAGGTAGTCTAACCGTTTTAACTGCATTGTCCACTAGACAGCACCTGATGAACATGCAAAGCTGCGGGTCAAAAGAACAAGCCCCAGCAGTTTCAACACCGCATTCATAAATCTGCATAAACAATGGTACAGCCATGAGCTTTCTGTATATGGAAACCTGGAAAAAATAGCAACAGAAACCAGGTCTTGCTTGGCCCACCCTGCAGCTTGCTTTGAATCACCTAAGGCACCGTTTTGCAGTCCCTTCTGCTTCATTGGCGTGCGGCATAGCTGCAACAAAGTCCCGCGGTCTACAATCTTGGAAACTGGGGCATGGTGACCCATTAAGGAATGCAAATTGCGGGCAATGATGAGCGTTACCTGCAGCTGCCTGTAGCTTGATACTGCAAATGTCATGACAAGCTAACTTGGCCCACGCACGCTTGCAAAGAAAAAGCTTGGCAAACACAAAGAGATCCAGTTGTGACTGGCTGCTCCTCTTTGCTCTCATACTCACCCCTCAAGATTCTGCTTGGCAGCGACCCCGATAACATCTAAATATATATAATGTCCGCTTCTTTTGCACCTTTCACATGCTTTGGTTCACCTCCTCCCACTTCACCTGGCATCGGGCTGATGAGAATTTGTTCAGTCTGTTTTTATCCTCCCTGTCTGGCAGGTAATCTGCTTGTCTAGAAACCCAAAGTCTGCCCTTAGCCTGGTTTTCAAGGTAATTCCCTGATGCATCACATCGACATCTGCACCTTTTTCCTGTTGAGGATGCGTGTTTGCACCCTGCACAGCTCCTGCTGGCCAGTGCCTACTAGGGCATGGCTACGGTGAACTGTTGCCACTGCTGCTCGTGCTGCTTCCTCTCGAACTACTCTCGCTCTCACTTTCCTCCGCTACTGACGCCACTGCTGTCGGAACCACTTGGCTGGGCATCGGTGTTGCCACAAAAGTGGGCGCGCGGACAAGCATGCTGCGCATGCTTGGTGTAGGTACTGCAGGCACGGCACCTCTGTGCAACGACACCGTGGACCCTGCGGACCCTGCGGATGAGGGGTAGGTCCTCTGCGGTGCATTCACTCGGGCAGATGAATGTGGAAGAGGGGCCCGGAGCAAAGGTAGACGCGGCATCACTTGAAAGCTCGGACGGGCTAAACGGTTGAACTGCCAGGCCGTAGAGAGTGGTGGAACGGGACATCTCATCTGCCCAGTGGGCGAATCGAAGCATGGCGTCGTGGTTGCCATCACGTTGTGCTTGCAGACGGGGCATGCCTGGCTCAAAGACAGCCATTTGTCAATGCATGGGACATGGTAGGAGTGGAGGCAAGGTAGACAGCGCAAGCTATCACCACCCACGAACTCCTCCATGCAGATTGTGCATTTGCCCTGCACCTGAGCGGGTGTCGACATTCTGCTACCTTGGCTTTGTGCATGCCAAGGCTGGAAGCACAAAACACTGAAGCATCACGTAACCTGAAACGTGTGTCCTTGTAATTGCACATGTTCAACAGAATGAAGATGTCAAATTTTGCGGATGTGTTTCAACATCACCTGCCTCATCTTCCAGCAACTGTGCTCCCGTGAAGGTGTAGCATACCGTGTAGTTGTCAATGGCTTCTTCTGGAAGGCCCCGGCGGATGCCAATCATCTCATTCACCTCATCGTCGTCGAGCATTCGGAGCACACCGCCTTCATCAATGATGATCCAGGCGTCCACAGACATCAGGCGGACGCTAAATGGCACTGCCGCCAACTTCTACGCCAAAAGTGTTGGCAGAGTAAAAACCCGAGCTCGTCACACTTATGAAATGGTGCTGTCAAGGAATCGTTGCTTGGTTAGCTGCTAGCTGGTTATAACATCATGGAACATCATGATGGTGACAAGAGACAAGCCTACTGAAAACGTTTGAAAACACCAGCGGGAAGGAGACTGAAAACAGGGTCTGTTCCACTTCTGTTCCATTGCTTGCCTTTCACTTTTGGCGACGCTTTGGTCGAGCCGATGGGCAGCTTCATGGCACGAATCTCAAGCCTAAGCATCCCATGCTTTGAAGAAACCACTGAACAAACGAGCAAACAAGAGCCAAACAAAAAACTACTAGGAGCTTCTTGTTACTAGTAGCGATGGCCTCCAACCTAATAGCTTTTCGCTACTAGTAGAAATGCCCTTTGCTACTAGTAGCTTCCTGCCAACGTTTCAAACGTCTGCTTCAATGCAAGCTTGCCAGCCATCCCAGCACCTCCAAAGCCACCTGCCGGCACTTCCAACTGGAGAACTGCCAGCATGCAGAGTTCCGCAAAAAACTCCTGCGGGAAAAGCCACGTTGATCAAACTTGTGCAAGACTGCTGTAAGTGTAAGACGCTTCACCTCCAAAAACTCACCAAGTTGAAGTCTCAAGCGACAAGAAAATCAGAGTATCAACATATGACATGTGCAATGTGCGGCTCGGAATCGAAATGAAGCTTATCATATTCAAACATCATAAACTACACCAAAATTTTCTGTCAGTGATCTTGACAGAAAAAGACTGTTGGGGGTTCAATTTTTTTCTCTCCACCGCCCTCTCCGTGCAGGCGTAACAGGTTATATAAACACTCCAAAGAGTGCTGGTTGGTGGCAATAGTGCCTACGCCAGGATTGCGGCACGTTATGCATTCATATGCCATATGCGACTCATCTAATTGAATGCATAGTTAAGCTAATACATTATATGAAATAATGTGTGAATTTTGATGCCATAACTTTTTTGATGCTGGGCCTGGTTCTAGCCACTTTGAAGGTAGCTACCCACCTACCAATCTAGCCACTTACCTACTTCCCTTCCCCTTACCCTCCCTGTCATGTTACTTCCCCTTACCCTCATATCACAGCATGGCGTGCCCATCATGGACATCAGTCTAAAATCATGTCACGGCATGGCATGCCTATTTCATCTATTCGCATGAGCATGTTTTAAAACAGCATGACCCCATGACATGCCACAACTGCACGCTCTTTTCATGGCAAAGTCATTTCTTCAAGATTGGCTTTATGACACCCTTTGGCTTCTCAGAAGAAGCGGCCTCACGCTCTTTGCGATGGAAATGTGACACACAGGAGTCCACAGTTGCATTGAACTTGGCAACACTTTGGGGTTCCTGTCCATTCAACAGGTCTTTTTGTACATCTTGAAGAGTCAGGCTTTTGGAATCATTATTTTCCATCAGTTCTTTCACGAACTTCTGCACTTTCTTCCAAAACTCCCTCTCATCAGGATCATCCTTTCGCTTTCGCATCCTGCGTGGGCAGATAGCACGTGGACAAGAACATATCCTGGACAAGTTCCGGGTAAAGATGGAACACAACTCATGTTCAACTTGACAAGCCGTCATGTCATAACCTACCAGTGAAACAGATACGGGAACCCAGCTAACATGAATCATATGTCATATGTCAATCAGTTAACCCCTCATGGCACACACACAAACAAAACCCCTTCACGTCAAGCCGACAACAACATCATGTAGGCTCATGTCAAAATTGAATCATGACATGTGCATGGCAAGCATGGCAAGCATGTTTCTACTGCGTGCGCATGAGGCGGTGCGCGCGGTACAGGGAACCTCTCTTTGTTGAGGAGAGCTTGAGGCCCGTCAAATCGACAAAGTCGAGATCCATGACTTTGTCTAAGATCTCAAAGGGCACCTGGCCAGATTCCAGGTTGAAGCCCCAAATCAAAATCTTGGACGGGCTGAGGATGGAAGGAGGGAGAGGCTCTAACTCGGTCAACGGCAGGTCGTCGGTTGGAGCCCACTCTCCAAACAAGTCTAAAATGGCCTTCTTTCGGCCGGCCTTCAAATTGGCCTCTTTGCTCTTGCCAGGATGCCACCATTGAATGATGGCAGAGTCCTCATCAATGTCAATCACCTCACTCAAGCAAAAGGGGAGGGCTTTCGAAGAGCTCGTGTTGTCTACAATTGCAAAGTCCCCTGTCACACACATGATCTCAATCGCCGGCTCGTCCTGGACAGTTCCCCCCAACCGGACCAAATTTTCCAGCGGCATCCCAGGCATGTCAGCCCCAGGGCAATTGAACAACAGCACGTCCTCAGGCACAGAAGCCATGCTCTCTGACCGAATCGTGCCAACTGCAGCACCACCACGTCCGATATCAGAAAGTATGGCGTCAACTGGCAAGACACTGTCCGTGTCCTGCTGAGTCACATTGTTCAACCAGGCCATGCCAGCCTTCACGGGGTCATCCAAAAGATTCATGGAGCCAAGTTGGACTTCAACCCTCCCCAGGAAGTCACGAAAGTTTGTCTTCATGTCCTGACTGAAGCAGTGACGGATGTGCGGGGGCCTGGCCATCGCCACTGTCGATGTTTCTCTGCTGCCACCACGAGGCGTGCTCAAGTATTGTTTCCACCGCACATAGATGCCACCGTTTGTCCTGAAGACTTCAAGGTCATGCACGTTCCCGACTGCATGTATCTCCAGTCCCAGCAGTCTCTTCAACTCCTCAAAGTTCAGAGAAGCATGCAGGTGGTTCCAATCCAATGTGTACGACTTCAAAGTTGCCACAATGATATTCATCATGTCATCTTCGGAGATGTAGGACTTGCCCATAAGACTGGCCTTGACACGACTGAATAGCCGATCACAGTGGCTGTGAGTGTGCCCCACAAGCTTGTAGACAGTCCGAACCCTCCAAAGCCGCGTCTCCCTCAAGCAGCACAAGAGCCAAACCATCCAGGTGAAAACCAAAGCATTCTTGGTTTCCTTGGGTGTATTGTCCGCAGAAATCACCAAGCTTTCTGGGACCACGCCAGTAGCCACCACCTTACGGTGGAAGTTCATGAACAACAAGCTTGCCTGCATGTTGCCGCCATGCTTCGAATCACCTTCATACAAAGTGGTCAACACCACGTCGTCCCTGGGAGCCCCGTTCCAAATTGTTGCCACAAGTCCAACCACCAGGACAAACCCGGTCTTCATCAGCGGGGTGGCACGCCTGAGATTGCCGAGCACGTGAATTCAAAACGTAACATCATGTCAAACACAGCAACATAACCTTGACGAATCCATGACAGATTGTGACATGACCTCCACGCAAGCATGGCAGCATGACTACATGTCACATGGCCTTGTGGCGTGACCTCCACACGAGCATGGCAGCATGACTACATGTCACATGGCAACATGGCATCATGATCACGCTTAATATTATCCAAAGCCAGAACGGGTGGATGTGGGGCAGGTTCGTCTTGGTTTGATCCATCTTGTCCACCTGTATGTGCCTCAGGTTGTCCAATCCAGGAAAACATGGGGCCATGTTTACCTTACACATGTCTGTATTACTGTCACTTAGTCCAACTAACAGTCACTACATGTCAAAATCAATTCAAGCTACCATTCAGCATTGTCCGACCTTCGGGTCTGCTCCATCAGACGTTCGTCAGCCAAGCGTTGACTGGCCTGAAATGCGTAATGCCGTCCAAGCCGGAGCTTCAGCGCATCAAGCGCTTCGGCATGCTGCCTCGGAGTTGAGGAAATCAAGGCTTGCAAGAACTTGCATACCTGGCAGGCCACAAACATGCTGGTGCGCTCCGCGATCACAACATGGAAGCATTCCTGAGCAAACGGCTTGATGGACTTAAAGTGAGCCATCCAAGCAAAGAAAAAAGGCACTAATCAGAGGACCATCATTAACAAATCATCATGGTCAAAACATATCCAGTGAGTGAACATAATGAGTGAACATACTGATCAAATCGGGGGTCACATCGCCAGGCTTGGAGAAACGTGTTCTGCGCTGCCCACTTCCCATCTAAGTGGTGCAACACGTCATGCCAGCGCTCCCAACAGTACATGCTATAGTAGTCGGACTTACGTCCACATGGAAGCACGTACTGACCCGTTATAGGGCTGTGCTCCGCGAACTTCTCGGCGTGAGCCTCGATCCAAGCCCTGGCGTCTAAATACCGCGGAGCGGCGCTGCTGTTGCGGATCGAAGCCCACATCATCCCTTCCCGCCGTGTGATAGCAGTGGTGACCTTCTGCTGCACTGCCTCACGGGCTTGCTGAATCGTGCCAGCTGGCACTCCAGTCAGCACTTGAAAGGCCCGTTGGCACACAAACACGCCCATGAAGAGAAACTGACCATTTTTCTCCCGAACAAGCTTGTAGAGGTATTCCAGCCGCTGCACACGGGGCAAGCTAGCCCACAAGATCCTGAAGTTCCGCGCAATGGGAAGGGGAGGATTTGAACATATCCATACACTGGTGGCGGTTTTTGCCAGCGTGGCAATCCGTCTCCATGTCCTTCACGATGCAGTCAAGGTCAATGAACTGACAAGCTTTCAAGCAAGCACGGGCATAAGACGCTCGGGTCATGTGAGCAATGGCCGGAAATTTCCCAGAGCTCTTGGTCAATAAGTAGGAACAAGAACGTAGAGCTCGCTCTGCTTTTTGGTACGCCTCCTGACTCAGCTCCTGCATGGCAGCCACCCTGGTGTCAGCGTGCATCATGACCCTTTACATGTCATGTCACGTCATGACAAGCCATGTAAGACAACATGTCATGAATGACAACATGTCATGTGTGACAACATGTCATGTATGACAACATGTCATGCCAAGTCATTGAATTAATAATGCAGCACATGTAATGCAAAGTCATTGAATTAATCATGGAGCCACATGTCACGCCAAGTCATTGCATTAATCATGCAGCACATGTCATGCCAAGTCATTGAATTAAGCGTGCAGCACATGTTCCAAAGACTTGCAACAATCACCCAATAAGCCTTAC